AACAGGGACTACAGACCGAACAGGGACCACAGACCCAACAGGGGACTTACATCCGACCGACTACAGCGCCGGACCTACAGACCAACAGGGGACTAACTCAGAACCCAACAGGGGACTACTAGATACAGACCCAACAGGGACTACAGAACAACAGACTACAGACGAACCAGGACTAAACCAACAGAACACAACCAGACCAACCACAGCCCAACAGGGACCAACAGACCCCAACAGGAGACCTGGGAACTACAGACCCCCAAACGGGGACCTACAGACCCAACAGGAGACTACTACGACCCCAACAAGGGACCTACAGACCCGAACAGGAGACTATCAGACCGAACAGGGGACTACAGACCGAACAGGGGACGCACCAGCCCAACCAGGAGACCACAGACCCAACAGGAAGACCAACAGACCCAACCAGGAGACTACAGACCCAAAGGAGACTGGAGACTACGACCGCAACAGGAGACTACAGACCAACAGGAGAGTACAGACCCACAGGAGAACTGGAGACTACAGAACCCAACTGGGACTACAGGACCGAGGGTCTGTGGTCCCCTGTTGGGTCAGTTGCCCAGCTTCACTCCCACCATCTCCAAAGCTGGCCGAGGTTGCCTTCACGGACCGGCAGCAGTGTCGTAACTAACAACTCACCACACACGAGCAGCCCTAACAAATGGTAAATAAGGCTGCGGTAGTCGTGACTTTGTTATGCTACCGGTACGAGGTGATACAATTATATCGGTATGACATTACGTTTCTCATGTTATGTGATCTTGTCTTTTTGTTTTTAGCCCAGGAGCTATATGCAGTTTCCAGTGTCAGCCCGCGAAGGCAGCATCTGTCAGCCGATACGGAGCTAATTCCCAGTTGCTAACTTAAAACGCAAACCCAAGTCGACGCCAGTTAACGTTAAAATCATTTTTCTGCTGCGATAAAAACGGCCAGTGTTGATTAACCCATTAATGCGTAAACTCAGCTTACGTGAAAAGCTCCTTTCCCCCCGTAACCACCGCACACATCAGCTCACTAGCAACCGCAGCGCTGCACAAAGCCACCGCCATCTCAGAGCGGGGTACGCCATGTTCAAAATCGGACGCACACAATCCAAGAGAAAAGCGGATAACTCGCGATGGGCAATGCGGGTGTTGGTTATTAATGGCTTACCGTTTTCGGTGCGGTGTGGGCTCTCCATTTTATCTCGGAAAACGCGCGATTAGATGAGCAAATTAACTCGGGGTTGTTGTGAGTCGACGTCCGCTCGACCCTGCGGTGCAAGTTGGCGGGGAGGAAGGGCGGCTCGATATTCTGTTTTTGAGTGCGCAGGCGTAGTCAATAACGTACGGTTCGCTGGTTTAAGTCAGTGGCAGCGGTCTGCTGCAGGTTCATGCCCCCTTGTGCGACCTGCTTAGACACATATTCTGTTAACTTTAGTGAAGAGAAACCACGTTGTGTAAGAATTTGAGCAACTTTGGGATTTCCTGCCAAGGAAACATGTTGTTGTTCTTCTTCGGGTGTCCAGTTTACTTGGAGCTGCTGTGGTCATTATTGCCCCCTAGAGGCCAATTGAGGAAATGAGCCCAGACGTTTAAGTAACAGACAGACAGATAGGTAATTCAAGTTTAATTAATTAATTAGGTTAATTAATAAATATGATAAATTATTTAGTTATTGGTGATACCCTGTTGGATGTTTAAACTCAGAATATTTATTCAGTTATTAATGGTTAAGATGGCAATGAGAATGATGGAAATTAGTGATTATTGTCACTGTAAGAGCTGCAACTTACAGTTATTTTCATTATTAACTAATTTCCTTTATGAACTGATTAAGTGTTTGGTCTTTAAAATGTCAGAAAATAATGAAACATATCCCTCTTGTGTTTCCATAGCATAGAATTCAACTCAGCGATTAATAAATAGTTAAAGCTTTGTCATATGTTAACCTGGTTGAATACTGTCTTCAGCATAAATTAATCTGCCATTTTGCATCATTTTGTTTTAAAATATCGCTTCTCATTTAAAAAAAATGTTACATCAGGGAAGATGGAGCTTTAGCTTGAGGTAAAAAACATTGTGAATAAAATCAGCAGCTGCCATGACCTTTTGTTAAATGGGAAAATGCTGTTCTTCTCAGCTTTATAGGTTTCCTTGATGCATTTAATTACTGTGAAAAAGGCTTCAACTTTCTCCAAAGTTATATGGCATGTGCTCAGAAAAGGGCAGACTTTAGCAACACGATGCATGGTGTTATATGGCAATACAAACTATTATTAAGCCAAATTACCCAAGAAATAGAGACACACTCATTTAGTTCTAAATTTCCTGACTTGTAAAACTAATATATCTATTCATATATATAATTAAATAACTATTTTTCAACTTGCTACAGGTGATATAATTCTTTCCTGAAGGGATGGTGGTAGGCCAGTTCCTTCTGGTGTATTCCTGCAGACACAGAAAAAAAAAAAGGAATCCCCAGTAAAGGAATCACAGCCAGACTCTTCTCCAGACTTTTTATGACCTTGTATTTCTTCATCAGTCTGACTGCAGACAGGCCACTGGCTTTGTGAGGGAGCTGTCACGACTTTTAGTACCTTGAGTCATTTGCCCGGTTGATGTTTAAAGGGATCAATAAAACACGCTGGTCCTGGGCTGTGGCCAGAGGTTTTTTTTTTTATTCAGGGGGATGCTGCAGTGTCCTTGCAAAAGAATAAACATATTCCAAACTAACACTGCGTTGTTTGCTCTCATCTGGTATTTCTGTATATTGTTGCTTCAATATTTGTATTTCTTTATAGCATGTAGATAAATGCAAATATTTTACCATTATCTGCAATATTAAATATTCAGTTGTACATAAAGTTATGTGTTGATATACAGTGTGTGTGTTATTATATACCTTTGACATAATTAAATGTTCCTCAACTGGTTTTTGGTGATTTTACTACTGTCAAAACGTCCCTTAAAAAGACTAAAACCAACTCTTTAATTGTCTGTGATACAGTTTGTTCCATTATTGTCCAATAAAAGTATTAAAAGCACACGTTGCAGATGTTCCTTCATTACTGTATTATATTCCATTTTGTATTACGGCACTGTAGTTAATTTTGAGTCGACCCAACATTCGCCGTCCTGCTGCCAACAGAGCATCAAATATGAATTCAGTCATGGCTTAAAATAGTCCCCATTAAATGTGGTTTCCTCTGGTTTGTTAGCTTAAAACTGCCAGTTGCAGCCAATAGAAGTGAATAAGTCTTTAATGAATAGGCTGGTCTTGGTCTTAATAGTGAATCCACTTCCTTACTTCATTACAGTTAATGCATGAGAAATATATTCATCACTAAATTCACTATTTCATCATACCGTTAGGATGTTAACATTTCAGTGCTCTTTTTCACAAATCATTTTCCAGGACACAACACAAAACAAGGAGTTTTTCTTGGCAATACAGGACAACACCTGCTTATAAACGATCAAATATTGACTACGTTGACTTGGCCATAGCCCATAAGTCACAAATCGAAGCAGAATTTATTTTATTTTACAGAAAATTAATCTCCTAGAAAGTTAAAGTGTTCATTGCACATATAGTTAACAACACAGTGCGTGTATATATCGAACAGGAAATTTGCAAGTCAGTGAAAATATGCACCAAAATATGCACAAGTTTATCTAGGCAATCTGAGTGAGGGGCTAACATACAACCATTTCCAGGACAACATTTCCAGGATATTTGGTTATCTTAATCAATTTCCAGGTGTTTTCATGACTGGAAAACTACTCTTTAATTCCAGACTTCCCAGGTTTGCATGGGAACTAGCACAAATGCAAAGTATAGCAGTAAACACAAAGGCAAAGATGGGAATGTCATTCTTATGAAGACATAAACCAAAGTATTGGTATTGGAACTATTGGTATTAGAGCTATTAGACTGGAAAAGTAAACATTTTTAGAGCCACGTCAGTAGAAATGTAAAAAAAAAAGACCTTCACACGGTTTAAACTCTGGTCGTTTATTAGCTGTCCACAAAAGCATGTCATGGAACCACAGAAACTGTAGCACGAGTGTAACATTCCTTTTTGTTGTTATACTCCACCACATCCCTGCTTCTCACACCATGTATAATTTATATTTCATATATATATTTTGTACAATATACATGTTCTCATCAAAGGAAAAAAATCATAGCAAAAAGTTTGCCCTCCCCCCCTCCCCACCCCCTCCTGTGGATTTTGAAATTTATTGAATATCCCATGCATGTTTCCACTGCGTCTAGGAGAAATGTTTTTTATTACCAGGAACAAATACGCAGGCAAATAAATGCTCAGACAAATTAAGGGGAAGAGTCTTGTTAGACAATAAGCTGGTGTACAAAGCACATTCTCAACAACATTAAACAAGAAGAGCCATGCGATCTGACATTTACTCTACGGCTTTGACCCAGTTTCGAATCAAAAGCGCCAGTACAGGGGCAAGCTAAAGTTAGTCTTCTGCTAATGGCGTAACATTAAGACTAAAAAAACAGAGATAAGCATTATTAAAGTCCGTTGGCTTATTCTCTAATTCTAAAGCCGTATTCAGCTGCTGTTGGATCACAATAAGACTTGAACTTAAGCTCACTGTTATACTAATGCTTTTGAGTGTGTGTGTGAGGCTACAGTAACACTGGCACGAAAAGTGCTTGACATCATTATGAACCTTTTTACCTCTGTCGAGACAAAATGGTTTGCATCTTTAAGTTACATTTCACTTTTTAAATAACGAGTTTCAATTCAAACTTGGGCATGTGTAATGATTCAATATAAAGGATGGAAATGGATCATTTCAACCAGAGTTAGTCTAAATAAATTAGGGTAAAATCAACAGACTGGCAGCCTATACCTTAGAAATATTCTTTTAAAATGAGCGAAATACACTTAAAAGAAAATACACTATGGGATGTCACAAAAATATAAGCAAAAATAGTATTTTCAGGCTTTTTCACTCACTATGTTATGTGTCATTCAATTTCATATTGTAGCTCTATATCTTGTAGCATATTATTCATTGTACTACTCAGAGTAATACAGTCTTATGGAAATATTGCTTAATTTCAAAACTTAAAGTATCTTTTTATACAATCTTTTTTACTTTTGTAAAACAAAATAGCTGTGGAATGTAAAATAAAATATATAGTGCTATGTATGTAGGTAAGAAAATAAAGTCGTAGGATAATATCTATATTTCATTTTCTGTAACTATTTACAGAACTGAAAACCAACTCTTATATGCCTATATGTTTCTCTTAAAATGTTTTCTGTTGGCCCAAAACAAATATTTGAGTAATTTTGAGTGTGCTACAATAGTCCATGTCATAACATTTGTCTCATATCTGAAGGTACAGTCTGAGTTTATGTAGAAACAACATCACAAAGTATGAGGACACTTCCGAGACATTTTGCATTGTAAGCTATTGGAAACAGAGGGAAGCATCTTTTTTTTGGTTTGTTGCTAGACAACATTGCACAACTTGTATATATTCAACTTGTGTTGCATTGTTACATTCATAAAATCTACTGTAGGTCCTATGATTTCCCCCTAAATAGATTGTGTGAGTTAGATCTCTTCATGGTCAAGTCAACTGGGTTTTATTTAAATATTATTCAACTGCATTTAGTTTATTTTTTTAACCATTTTTGAGCAAGGGTGCCTCATTTAAACAACGGGGCTGATAACCCGCGGCTGCTGCTGAATCACGGGTGTCTGGTTAAGCATTTGGTCCTTTTAGAATTGATCAGTATTATCTAATGCACACCTGGTGGGCAGGTGTGTAGGAAAACGTAATCATGTGGAACAAGGTTGAATTTCTGCAGGCCTTGAGTTAATCAGAGACACAAGCATTCTGGTCTTCATAATGCATCAACTAACAATATGAAACAGCACACCTTTATACTAAAGCTGCAGGCTGTGACAATAAGCACAACAATAACTATATATAATATATAATCACCACAATGGGACAAACTAACTTGTCAAAATACGTAGAATACAAATGAAACTTCAACCTCCAACACCCTATTTTTAAACCTTTCTTTCAGTAAAAATCTGCCCATTTAATCTTTTATTTTAAAAATTACTATTTCCCTTCTTTCAATTTCAGTTTGTGTCCTATCCATTGGACATATTGTTAAATTATTGATATGGTCTTTGTTTTAGGTGTTTGAGATTTAGTCCCCCTTTTTTGGCTTTAGTATGAAGATGTGTTGTTTCACGTTGTGAATTTGATGAATGATGAAGGTCCGTGGAGCTGCTGTTTCTCCTCATTCTGTATTCCCATTTCAGATTCTTTGAACGATCCCCTCAATGTGACACAGAAACACAGGACTCTCCCAGATAATATAACTATTGTAGACATTTATGTTTATGTTTAAATTATTTCAACTTTGTTTCTCACATAGATACATTCTAAATACTACACTACCCATGAGCCTCAGCCAATATTGCCATGAGGATGAGAGTTTTCCAATTTTTTCAACTTTTTAA